AAATGTCTTATGATAATGTGATGAGTTCATCCTGTCAGGCAGTCGGTGAGAAAGGGTCTCCTGCCTAGTATTATAATGGTCCTGCCCATTTCTGTAAGGAAACTGTACTTACAGAAGATGCAGCATATTTAGAATTTTGTAGGATTGTGTAAATATCTTGCTATCATTATATTCTTGTAGTCTATCCTGTTTAGCATGAAGAATTCTTTTGGATGTTTATAAGGTACACATTCAAGTTTTCCTTTTACTCAAGGACATTCCTGTTTTCCGATCACAGTTTTTACAGAAATCAGTGGGGCCTGTTCAAGAGAAGACTTGTCAACAAATCAAGGTTATAGAAAGCAGAGTATAGACTCTGTCAGGATGTCCACTGCTGTCCATCGCCCTTGCCATTCTTCGCTCTCTGTGGAATCTTTACAGCATGCTAGAAGGAGGATATTTTAGCAACTTGAGGTTGGGCCAGTGCCTATCTAGTGGAGCCTGTGGAGCCATGACCAGCATCCTCTTCTGCCCTGCTTATGGGTACCTTCCCTTGGAACCCTGAAGTCAGATAGGCAAGGCTGGGCTCCTTCCAAGTATGTATGCATCCCTTTGGTTTGATGCTTCCTTTGTCCTCAGGCAGTCTTCCCCTAGTGCCTCCTGGAAGGACCCCTAGCTTGGTTTACCTGTCAAATTGATTTGGGAAAACATGAATTTTAAGTTTGGCCCATCATCTGCCCAATATTGCTGCTACAAAATGTCAGCTCACCTACTGTAATTTCTTTTAATATGTGTTTATTGGGAACCTGGCTAGGAGTCTAAAAGTATATTGTTCAGTGCTGTGGAGAAGTCACGAGATATTTGTCATTTTCACCATTGGGGAGCTGCTACTCTACCTGTGACAAAAGACCTCACAAAAATAACCTAAGGAAGATGCAAGTGCATTCCATTTTCTTTTGTGGTCTATCATCTCTTAAAAATGACTTCTAGTTTATTTAAATATAGTGTTTATATGCTAAATCATTGATTAGGAAAAAGCTTCTAGATGTTAACTTCAAATATAGTTCCATAGGAGGAAAAGTACAGAAGAATAGCTATGTGTGCCCTTCGTATTAGAAAAAGTCAAGTGTGAGAAAATACATCTGCTTATTCTTGGCTCATGGTTTGAGAGAACAGTCCATCATGGCGGGGAAGGTGTGATAAGAAAGGTTCTAGTATGATAACTGGATCGTGAAGCAGCTAGTCACCCTGACCTAGTCAAGAAGCAGAGACGATGGTGCTCAGCATATTTTCCTTCCCTTTCTTCACCTTAGGTTCACTGTGGGACTCCAACTACACATACGCCAGGTCTTCTGTGCTGAGTTAAACCACTCTGAAAATACACTTACAAACACAGAGAGTTGATTCTAAATCCAGTCAAACTGACAGTGAAGATTATTAACATCACATCCTGGAAGAGGAAGTTCATAGCTGAAGAATTAGCAAGGAAGGCAGAAAGCATCCAGTAATCCTCTTTCCCCATGAATTGGCAATCTGTGAATGTAGCTGGAGTCTAGAAGTAGTCACAGGCCATATCCTCTACCAGGCTTTCTGTATAATTCTTTCTGCCCAAAAGGTAGACAGGTACCCAGAGAGCTTGATTCAATACTAGATTGTAAAGCTTCCTTGGGATTGCCATTCCATCTTTAGTGACAGCAAGTCATCTACCAAAATTATTAGTATCTTTTGTGCTGAAGATGTATCTGCACTAGTCACACTACAAAGGTCAGCAGATCCTACATTATCTTTACACTGCCTTACCCCAGGGTCTTTCCTGGAACTTTGCATTTGTCCTGCTGTTACAATTTGTTTTTCTCTTTCTAGGTAGCTACACCTAGAAAAAGATTTTGCTTTATATAAACTTTCAGATTTTTTCAGTCTCTCTCTCAGCTACAAATGGGAGGGGGGAGGAAGTCTTTAAGTTTGGCCTAGCTTCAAAGGAGCTTCTAACTCTGAAATAGAATCAGTGAAGATTTAAAAACAAACAACTACAGCCTCTTTGAGAATGCAAGCCAGGAGCCCATCTCCACCTCTTCTACGTTATGATTGTTAAATAGTGCTTGTCTTCTGCCTCTCTCTTCCTCCCTACCATCTTGAAATCAGAATGACAAGCTGATATTAAAGAAGAGGAAGGCTCAAAGTAATGAAGAAATGCAGCATTCACCAAAGCAAGTTCTCCATTTAATGTAGCCATCCAATACGGGCCTCTTCTCATGTACTATCCCACATATATATGTATTTTTGTATGGTAAATCGTAGTTATTATGATTTATTGTGTTAATTTGTATATATACCTTATGAAATACCACAAACTGCTACTCTAGTTTAATTCTGTTCTGAATGAATATCATAAACAAATTATCTCTGTTTGAGATCAAAGTACCATTAATGATTGGTTGAGTTCTCCTTTGATCAAATTAGCTCTAACTTATCACCATGTCTTACTCCAGAAATATTGGTACTTAATCACCCAGCTTGGCAGTGAAATGCTCCCCATATATTATATGTGGTCTGTCAACTCTTAAAAAAAGTCAACTCACAGTGTTTGTATGCTAAATCATTGAGTAAGAAAAAGCTTTAGATGTTGAGTTATAAATATAGGAGGAAAAGTACAGGAGGATACCTATGAAGGTGTGCCCTTCATATTAGAGAAAGGAAAAAAAATACATCTGCTTGTTTGTCCAAAGGAAACAGAGCACAATAAAACTAGCTGGGCTACCTGCAAAGGTAGATGGGAAAGGAGCAGAGCGAATGGAGGATGGGAAAGCCTACACTAATAGCTACAGAATAATGACTGTGGTGGATTATGTGAGCAGAGATGCCTCACTCTTGTGCTTCCTATGTGGCTTTCACTTTTAGAGCTATGGCTTTATTTCATATGCCACAAAGTGGACAACTAACGTTAAGCAGAATGTAAGTGAGTGCAGAAGTAGCAGGGAGAACGATGACACAGATAAAAATCATCACAGCAAATGCTGAAAGGAAAAGCTTATCTCGTTGACTGCAAACCACCAAGGGCTAAAACAAGGGCCATGTCCAAGCACTGAGCTCTAGATTTATAAACTTTATAAACTGTGTCTGACAGGGGTGTGTGCTAGCAACTCTGTAAACACTTTATGCTAGAATTGAAGGAATACTATAATGAGCACCAGGCTTCTCCTTTTAAAATAGAAGTAATCAATCAGGAAAGGGGGACAAGTCTCTAATGAATCTGAGTGACATATTGGACTTGGAGGCCTCAGTGTGGACTTTTAGCCTTGTTACACATGCACCCATGGGTAAAGAAGTCCAGGGACACACATGCTTTCTTTAGCTCTGTCTGCTGAGGAGGCTCTAGTAAAGCATTCCCCAGCAGAAACAAGTGCACCATGTGCAGATCTTGGCTTCTAAATACCATTTTTCTCAAGAAAACATCAAAGCACCTCAGATAAGAGATTGATTTAAGGTCTAGGACAATGAAAGAGAAGATGAGCTTAGAACATCTTGGAGAACCTGAAAGGAAGTATTCAAAATAAAAAATATAGTCAAAAATATAGAGACCAATGCCAAAGAATCCCTAGTAGCTAAAGCTGGAACAACAGACAACAAAATAGTGACTGTAATAGATTATATCCTGCCATAGTAAGTATCCAGAAGGTCACATTGATATGTGTGATTAGATAAACAGTAGGAAGAAACAATACTTTTTCTCACAGAAGATTTGGAATTAATAGCTTGAAAGGGAGTGGAGCAAGTAGAAAGTCCTATGGGTAGACACTACAATAAATACTGTCAAGACAAAATCTGTTCGACAATGACAGGCCAAAGCCTGAGTAGAACCTGAAGGTTTACTTAGTTTGAAACAATATCTCCCTCAAGAAATCTGTTAATTATAGAGAGAAATAATAATACTACTATTGAGATACCTTTCACCTTTGTATGACCTGAACCAAGCAGTCAAGGTTAATATTAACATCACTGGTAAGGAGGGACATGAGAGTCAGATCATTTGGTTCATTAAAAACAGTGAAATTGGGGTTGGCTAGATGGCTCAGTAAGGAAAGGTACTTGCCTGATAAACTGAGTTGGATCTACAGAACCTGTATGGTGGAAGAAGAAAGCCAAGTCTCACAAGTTGTTCTCTGACTTTCACACAGTACTTGGCATGTTCATATACAAAACAAACAAATGTAAACTTTTAAAACTAACACTATAAAATCTCTGTGGTAGTTTTGCAAAAGGAAAACTTAAAATCAATCCATGATATGGCCCCCAGAGGAAGACATGGTGTCACTTGTGTGAAATTCCAGTTGGAAATATTGTAGATCTGAGAGGGCATCAGAGAAAACAAAGATGAAGGGATAGTGGAGACGAGAGACTACAGTTTTCAAAACTGTCAATATCGTGTAAGAAAAAGGCTGTGGGAAAAGTCCAGATGAAAGTCAACTGAAGAGATGTTAGATAAACATACTGCCTGGTCCCAAACTGTCAAGGACATTGGGTTTAACAGCAGTAAGGCTGTCAAGGACATTGGCACGTCTACAAAATGAGAATATGGGGAACACCAATGCTGACTGACTGTGGTTGAAGTTACATTGTGGCCCTGGGCTGCACCCCCACATTTATTCATTGTTGGATTCTGAGGTCTTTAATAAGTAGAGCTTGGTGCTCAGAAGACCATGATAAACATTTTTCAAATTAGTATTCATAGTAGGTGAGTACTATGGGTCCTGTATTTGATATCAGTCCAGATAGTTTCTCCACAGGCTAGCCTTTGAAGAGTATGGAGTCTCAGCAATGGACTTGTGTTTATGGTGGAAATGACTCTATCATCTGACATTTATGTAGTTATAGTGTGGCCTGCAGCTGTTCTTGCTTTTATTACGTGTCCATTTCTATATTTCAGGAGTTAGTTGGTAGTAAAGAATAATGAGATTTCTGAGGTCTTGATTTCCCTTGCCTCTTTGTTTAACCCTTGGTATGGGAATTGGTGTATTTTTCAGCTATTGGACCTCTTTATTCAGTGGGATTGGTCCACATACCTTGCCGACTATGGACAGCCTAACTGCAAGTACCTCCGGGTGAACCCTGTGACAGCTCTGACCCTTCTTGAGAAGTGAGTACCCATTCCTGTGCTCTGTGTGGGAGGTGGGCAGGGGAGTCGGGGGGTGATATACAAGACCATTTTCCTGTTTCCAGTGCTGTCAGCCACTTTGACCATTGTACTTGGCAGTCAGTCATAATTCTTAGCTCTAACAAGCTTTAAGTATAGATCAGAATGGGATTCTGTATTGCCTTGTAGCCTAATTAGACAAAGTCTCTTTGCTTAAGGAAGACAATATAGTAAGATGACTTAGTCGGGCCAACATGTAAGCACAGGAGCATGCCCTAGCCCTTGGGGTTTAATGATATGTTGAACAGAGTGCCTCAGAAATGTGGTTTCACTGAACTAGATTATGCAGCACCAAACATCTTAAAGCTAGCCAACATATCACCTAGGTGTCAGTACATACTGCAACCTGCCTCTGGTTGAGAACTGCCAGGCCAGAAACCAAGACCCATTTCAAGGAGCTTTTTAAAGCAAATTAGACTGACAAGTCACAAGATACCTGTATGAAGGCAGTGAAGAAAGTCCGTATGTATGGACAGCCAAGCATGCTCCAACCCTAGAAAGACAAGGGTTAGAGTCCAGAAGGTCAGAATAGAGCGTTAGACACACACACACACACACACACACACACACACACACACACAGGAATCAAGGAGTAATATCTTTCTTACTGGGGTGGGGGATTGGAAAGTCCACCAGACGTAAGAGTAAGCAAAAAGTAGGCAAGAAATAGGATGTTGGGCTCTGTGTTTGAAGTCAAATGATCTGCTGAGAGTTGATGTTTTCATGTTAATCTTCTACCATAGTTTTCTCTCCCAATGATTTTTCTTCTCTAGGATATCTAGAGAGTAGGTATATTGTTCACTTAGGAATTTTCCATCAGTTTGAGACAAGTCCTTCCCATTTCCCATCAGTGATGCTGATAACTAAGCTAAAATCCTGATCCTGTGTGTGATCTCCACCCTGACAAACTAATCTTCTAAACTAGCCTGGTACCACCCAGTAGGACTTCCTCTTTCTTTGTTCCTTACAGACATTTGGTTTACCAATTCATTTTGGGGTGGGAGTAATGGCAGAGGCTTTTCAGCACTGGGGAAAGGATCTCTTCCATTCAGCTTCCTGCCATTCTTGGTACTCCTATCGGCTCAGAGTCTGCAGTTCAGCCCTGACAGAAGAGCTCCTAAGTAAATCCCAGCTCCTGGGGACAAGACTTATGACTTCAGGGTCTAGAACCCACATATCCCATGAGGAGTCCTCATCACAGGCAAACCATGTCCAGAGTTCTCATTACTCAGATAGTCCAGTGTTTGAGCTGATACTCTGTTGCTTCTCTTGGGATCCTGTACTCTTCCTTAGGTACAGCATTCTCACCTAGCATGCAACAAAGCTGTGTGCTAAGCCCTAGCCATCAGTGGACTTGAAATCTTTATCTCCAAAATTGGGAGGTACAGGCTCCCCAGGTCACAGAAATCTACATCTTCCGGCCTCAGAGGAGTTCCTTCTCTCCTCTGACCTGGTCCTGTTTCCACAGGAGCAGCTGCTCCCCATGCCTGCTAGTCTCTCTTTCTAAATCTTGTTCTTCCTAGTGAGGCAAGACAGAAGAACCCATATCACTGCTGGTAGTATCTAGGAAAAGGCAAAGTCCCCATGTTACTGAAAGGTGGACTGCCTCGAGGAGAGAATGCTAGACTTTCAGGAGATAGGAAAGGGGAGGAGTCACTTTAAATTTTGCACATTCCTGGATATGAACCATCATGCCACTGTCAGCTTTCAGAGCACCTGAGAGTATGGTTCCAACCAAAGGCTTCAGTGACCAAGAATTTCTTGCCTCTTGTCTCTTCTCTTTTTCCTGTAGAGTCCAGGATCCTCCCCTGGAGCTAAGGCCATCTCTGGACACACATTTCTGTACTGCTGCAGGAAATTATAACAGTCAAGCTAAATGTCCTGCAAATGTAGAAAGGGCTTCTCTGTTTCCTCTTTCCTGTTGATTTTATGTTGTTTGGATTTATAGTTTATCCAGCAAAAGGAAGAAGAGTCCTTCAGAATAATCTAAAACCCTGCCAGTTTCACAAACATAATTGTGCAACTAGTGTTTAAAATAGCAGACAGTGCTCACCAGGGCCTTAAGGACCATTATGCCCTCTTTCTAACCCAGTCAGGTCATCTGCCCTCCTTCCTAGCCTAGCACAGGCTTCCAAGTATGGGCAGGAATTCAGTGCTGGACAGAAAACTCCAGCCTGAAAGAATTATTCTGAGCTTAGACTAGGGAGAAAAGTCACAGTTGGCTTTGGCTGTCACTGTCAGAAAGTGAGACAGCTGTGTTTCCTTGACACTCACAATGCCCTTATGGACTATGTGCATTCCACTGGATATATAAACATAGATGAGCACACACTGGGCCTGGTGTGTAGCATCTATACAAGATGTAAATTGCATTTGTGGGATCCCTGTCTTTTGATTCATGGTCTCCAACTGTACCCCTCTTCAAAAAACTGCCCACAGAGGAGGAAAAATAGCTCAGGATTAACTAAAGACTTTTGGAAAGTATGCCTGGGAGTAACTTAGACCTTCTAGCCTTTCTCCATGTAGCCCTAAGAACAGGGAAGTCAGGGAGCCAGTTCAGTTCTAAGAACAAAGGTGCCAGCCAACTCACCTCACTCATGTGAATCAGGGTGCAGAGGCTAGGCCAGAGTAAGTCATCAGCAGTGGATGCCATGGATTACAGGCCCTCTACAGAGAACAGCATAGTTCTAGGCTCTGTCACGGTGCCTTGGATGAACCTAGAGACTGCAGTAGTGTCAGTCTAGTCTTACTTTCTTTAGCTCTGCCTTCCCAGTAGGGCCATCCACCTGACAGAGCCATCACTAGTATTTCTGCTCCATGAATGTCACCTGCAGAGCTTTAGCAAGACCAAAACAAAGATCTGAGATTGTATAAGACCACTGAGAACTCTCTCACACAAAGCTGGCTTTGTTAACTGAGAGTTTGGCCATTCCTTGAGAACCTGCTTCCTCAACACTATGCCCACCTGGCCACTGTGCTACTTTTCATCCATAATCCTGAAACTAATCAAGACACCAACACTACATTTTTTCAGGAGCAAGAAAGAGTGAGTAGGTAGAGTGGGAGCTCAAAGATACACAGTGGTTCTCACAATCTCTTACAGTTAATTTCAAGACAATATTTTTCTGTCTCACCTTCCAAATTCTATCTCTTAGGTCCCAGGAGGATTATGAAATAAGTGTACCCCAGACATTTTTAGGTATCAGCTGGCCAGCAGAGTTGTGCCATGTCTCAGACATTTATAAAGGTGCTCATCTGAAGACATAAGATGGATCAGGTGAGGGAGGTATGAGGATAAAGACCTAACCCCTCCAAAGCTAGCTCTTGACCAAAGGTAACTGTTGTCAGGAAGCTGATGGGTGCCTGAAGGTCAGGTCCTTAATGAGTAGGTAGCTGGACAGTGGAAATATTCTCAACTCTTCCACTCTGGGTACGGTTAAGATCCATCTTGCCATCATCCTACTTCTTGCTTGTTCTTTGTCTGGAACTATCTCAAGTATCTTGCCCTCTTTCTCTCCTTCTCTATTTAGGATGAAAGATACTAGCCGCAAGAATAACATGTTTGCACAGTTCCGGAAAAATGAGCGAGATAAGCAGAAATTGATCGACACTGTGGCCAAGCAGCTCCGAGGACTCATCAGCAGCCACCACTCCTGAATGTTGGCCTTGGGCCCACAGAGGCCACTTGCCGTAGCCAATGGTCCAGGATCTCCCCTGGGCTGGCCCTGCATTTGTGCATTCTTCCTCAAAGAGAGCATATGTATTTTTTTATTAACCCCTGTACAGTATTCGCATAACCTTTCCCTATAGTAAGAGAGGCACAAGAATAGCAAGAAGAAGGGCTTAGGGGAAGTTACTGCCACACTTTCCTGGGAAAGCTGCACTGTCAGTGCTGACATGGTGAGCCACCTCTTATCCAGTGCTCCACAAGTTTAGTGGGTGACTAGTACTGGGAGTTGAGATGAGAAAGTAAAAGGATAATATGTATCCTGTTTGCTCTCAAGTGTTCACTTAAATACATAGTAGAGCCTGGCAGACATGCCTGTGTAGTATACCAAAGCCAGCCTCAGTTTAGGATGTCTGCATTGTTGGTTGAATTATTGGCTCCTGAGAGTGTACATGTGGCAAGACAACAATTTCACTCTGGTCCCATAGGTGGCAGTTTCATTAGTGCAGGTCTAACCTAGCCTTGTGGTGGGAGAAGGATAGTTAACTGAAAAGGAAGTTGCCCCACTAGGTGAGTTGTTTTTCTGAACCTTAAAAGCCAAGTTGAGTGAGAACTCCAGTCCCCATGCCATTCATCTGTCCCTTCTTTTATGACCATAACACTTGGTTCAGAACATAAATCAGCAATGGCTTCTGAAGGTCCCTGAGTGAGTCTCACACTCACCTCCAGCAGCAGCATCTCTAAATGCCCAGATTCCCTGAAGTCTGAAAAGTAGCCGGGGTGCCTTCACCATGGGTAGAGCTTCATGATGTTTGAGATTGCATACTCATGTTTTAACAACAGTCTTACAGCTACCATCTTTAAAGAAAATGTCCTAAGCTCTACACCCTGGGCACAGCCACCATAGAACTGAATGTTTCTGAGAATGAATCTGTCACCATGAGGTAGACAGGATCAGCTGCAGCTAATGGCTTGTTGCCTCTGGCCCAGATGTCATCAACTAAATCATATCACAGAGACAAGGCTTGTCTTGTCCAAGCCCAAGGCTCCCATCTTCTGAGCTGTCCCTTAGCCTCAACTAAGAGTGCTTTCCTGGAGTCACATCTCCGATCTCTGGAGTCTGGGCTAGCCAAATAGACTCCTCAGATCCTGTGAAGTTGGCCAGAGGGATCTTTGCTCTCAGACACTTCTGGAAGCTGTTAGCCTGACTGCTGGTGAGAGTATAATTGTATCGTGGAACACTTGACCAAGAGGCCACAAAAGTGTTTCCAGCTCCAGTGAGAAACAGAGAGAGTGCTCAAACAATCTCTTATTACCTTTGTCAGCTAATGTGTGTAATTCTGGGACAGCCGTACTTCCATATCTCTTAGCCCACCACAGCCTACCCCATCTTGAACACGCCTCACCCTTGCCGTAGCAATCTTAAACACAACAAGAAGAGAACACCACACAGAGGTACAGCTTTCTAGAACTGGAGAGAACAAGCCACCCAGGTCTCAATCATCAGGCTACACAATGGCCAAAAGGTTCAGGAGGAGAATCACAGAAGAATATGCAAAACTTACTTGCCAACTTAGGGCACAGGCCTGTGGGAAAGAAGACAAGGTGATCTCTCGAAGCCCTCTATTTATTGAAAAGGGTGAGAAGTGATTCCACAAACTTGAAGTCCTGCTGACTGAGAAGGAAGGAAAGGCCCTTCACCAGGGCTAGTCAGCCTTCAGTGTAGAGATCTACAGTGGGCTGTACAGAATTTATCTTTTGGGGACACTTTTAATCACTCTATCTTGCAGCTTGTCTAGTCGCCACCTCTGTCCCAAAGGAACTGTCATAGACGAAAAACATGTGGAGGAATAGGGACTCTCTACCTTCCTCACCAGAGTCCTGCTGAAGGGGAGTCTCATCCAATCTCAGAGTGTGTGAGGATGGCCACTGCCTTTTCCTGCCTCTGCATCTGCCTGTGCTGTTTAGCCAGGGACCCACAATGTCAAAGGGATTATGAATTGATGAGGTGGAACTTTTTTCTTTTCTTCTTTTTTTTTTTTTTTCATTTTATCCATAGGCCTAAAGCTGAGCTGGCCTTGAAAACTTGAGCACGTTGTGTGTGCTAGTAGGCCTCAGACTGTGTGACCTTACCTCAGATGCCTGCAGACCACATGTCCTGAAGAGTTTCAGTTGGGGTGAGACACTGCTGCCTGAAGTCTGCTGCCTTCCAACCAGATCCATATTCCTGTAGACGGTCTGATTTTTGAGCCTTGGTTAGGCAGTGGCTCACTTATTTTTTGTCATTCATAATGGAAAAAGAAAACAATAAAACGCTCAGTACCGGGTAACACTGGTGTGGGTGGAGACCAGGACCTGCATACTGGAACCCAGAGTCCTGATTAGCAAATGCTGTATCTCTCAGTGACTCTATCCTGCATCAGGCCTGATAGTCCATCTAGCTCCATAGCACCTAGCTCAGCAGATCCTAAGCCCAAGGGTGGCAGTGGCCAGTTTTCTCCTTAGACCTTTGAGTGCAGGCTTGGGGAGGCTTCACCAAGTCTCCTTCAGACTGCTTTTGCTGTGCCCCTCCCTCCGCCCCTCTGTTCCCTGTCTTTTATTCATCTGCATTTGAGTCACTCCTCCCTGATAAGTTGGAAATAGCCTTTTCATTTTGCACAGTTCCACATTTGTGGAAATGCAGTGAGATCCATCTGTACCTCCAAAAGGAACCTTTTCCTCTCATGCTCACTAGGAAAGCAGCTCTGCTGCAGGCTGCTGCATAAGGGGGGGGCTCCTCTGTGGAAAGAGCATGAGTACCCCATTCCTCTGTACACCTTCCTCTTTTAACTGCTATTAAATGAGAGCCTACATACCTGTTCCAAAAGCCACTGTGTTGTCTTGTGAGATTTTTCTTCTCATCCTTTTTACCCAAGGTGTCTGTGGTTTGTGACAAATACTGGATAGCAGGCAGTGTGCCCCTACTGAGCTGACTAAGGAGCAGAGCTGTGGGACTGTGTAAAGGTATTCTGGGTCATGGCTGGGCAGTTGCCTAGAACCCTGAGACTCTGCATGAGAACCAGCAGGAGTTTGGCGTGCCCCCAGAACCCAGGGTCCTGAAAAGCAGTCTAGTCTCCATAGAATTACATTGTTCAGTAACGTAGGCCAGACAGCCCCTCCCAAAGTGCACAGGTAGAGGGTATGACTACAGGCCTCAGGCCCTAGGGATTTACATACTAATGAAGGACAGAGGGCAGAGCAAATTAAGCATGCCTCCCCAGATCCTCCCCCTTTCTCCCTCCCTATATAACTTGGGACTGCCCTGAGTTTTACGGGGGTACTTCCAGATTCATCCACCATCCACCACAACAATAAACCTTTCTGGAGCCAAGGCCGATGGAACATTAGACGTTCCTCCTGCATGTGGGACCCGCAGTGTGGAAAGCCTCCGGGCCTCCACCACCGCTGTGGCCTATATTTTTCCCCACACAGAGCTAGCAAGAACCTGGTGGAAAGAGGCCATGTTGTGACCTCAGGTGTTGTTAACATATATGACTGACTCAGGTACAGCCACCAAAAGAAGAATATTGAAGCACCTGGTGCATGTGGGGTGCTGGGATGAGCTGTTTACCCATTTTGTGGGGACAGGCTCCAGCCAAGCAGGGACTTTGCACAGTTATCCAGAACAAAGCTAGCCTGCAGAGTGGAAGCTGATCAAAAGGCAATGTGGAGAAAAGTCTGAAAGAAAGACAGGAGAGAGCTGGTGCTCATTAGCATGGCCTTAGGATTTAACTGTAGGACAGACACCACAGGACTGCTTGAGGAACAGATCAAAGCTTCAAGGTGCCCCTAGCCTGTTTTGTGCCGGGAGACAGTGAAGGACCTTTGGGCACTCTGCTGCCATGGTGAGTGAAATGTTCATGCAACAAGACTAACCTGCTCACCCTCAGAAGAGGCTAGAAAGTACACCAAGCCAGCAGCTTCATACTTTTGTGGGTTTTGCTGCCAAAAGACCTGGATTTCCATTCCTTCTATATAGCCTGCTAGCAGGATCATCTTTTTTTTTTTAAACATTTTATTGGTTCTTTGTGAATTTCACATCATGCACCCTAATCCCACTCATCTATCTCTCCCCTCATACCCACCATACATCCTTGCAACTTCCCCTCCAACAAAGGAAAAACAGTAATTTCAGTGCAGAAGCTGTAGTGTATCAGAGTGTTTCACAGTATGCTCTTTTGTACACACTTGTTTGCTTGCAAGTGTTCATTGGTCTGGTATGAGGCCTCTGGCTTCTGCAATTCTTTAATACTGGAACCTCACTGAGACTCCTCTTGGATATCGTGTTGTTGTCCTGGGTTAAGGAGATCCTGTAATTTTGGATCGGTAAAACCAGCCCCTTATATATTCCAACAGTTCATCAATGAGATAGATGTTGAGGTGGGCCAATTCAAAGCCCCAGTTCTGGGCCAGAAAGATATCTGACCTGGCCAGCCCACCAGCACTCCTGTTCTTATGCTGTCCAGGGCTGGCTCACCAGCAACCCCCACTACCAGGGCCAGCTCTACCCTGCTGCCCAGCGGAGGTACAGGGCCTGCTCTCCCCAGTGTTGCAGCTGGTAAGAGACATAGCCGGATTTCCCACTCTCATGACCCTGAGATCAGTTCTCCTACCTGCCATATATATTGAGGGTAAAGAGATTTGAGGAAGGTGTCTTTTACCACCTCCCAGCAGACAAGAGGCAAGGCTGACTCTCCCACTCTGAAGATCTTGGGGTCAGCTCTCCTGCCTGCCACTGATGGTAAAGGGTGTGGGGGAGCACATCTCTCCTCACCCATGTCACCGCTATCCAGCTGTCATGACTTCCTTGGGACCAACTCTCTGTATGTTGCTGTTGGTAAGGGCAAAGGGGAGAGGAGGGGATCACTTCCTGGAGAATTCACATAGCAGACAAGAAGCATAACCAGCTCTCCCACACTCTCACCCTTGGGGCCAGCTTACCTACAACCCCCACATCCAGGGTCAGCTCTACTGTGCTGCCCAGACAAGGTTCAGGACCTGCCCTCCAGAGTGCTTCAGCAGGTGAGGGACAGAAATGGCTTTCCAGCTTTGATAATGTAGGGGACCAGCTCTCCTGCCTGCTGTAGGGGGCTGGGGGTGGTCATCTTTCTCTTGCCCATGTCACTGCACAGCAGACAAGTTTCGGGGCCCAGCTGGATTATCTTCAACAATTAATTTGCTAGCTCGATAGTGACATTAGAATGATGGTTCCTGGTTTTACAGGGATATTGTAAAATTCAAGAGCTATGAAGGCTGTAGAGCCTGGCCTGACATGGCCATGCACTATTGAAGGCCTCCCTTGTCCTCTCTTCCCTCCAGTTTACAGCATCTCACAGATGCGTCTATAACTACCTTGTCTCCTGGCTTCCTTTCCAAGCCCATCACAGCACTGGTAGGATATAGAGACTTCACATACCTGTTCAGGACCCAGGACCACCAGCTACCTGGGTCTGAGTAAAGGCAACCTTCAAAAGCCTGCCTTCAATTCTGCCTGGAGCCTTCTCTGCTCTCACTTTGGTGCCAAAACATATGCCTCCTCCTGGTAGCATGTAGTTCAGAGGCAGAGGTCCAGATTCCTTGAAATGTGAGTGTGGATGTGGTATACACACATTGATAGGTACACATGGGCTTTCATCCATCCATTCTTTGTTTTGAGAAGCAGGTTTGTGGCTTTCATTCAAAGTGTAGGGGAAAAGGCATGATTAAAATACTATAAATGATAGCCAAATCCCTTAGAGATTTCTTCATGAGCCAACAAGGTTCTGAGCCATCAATTTCTCTCCTTGTCTCCCTCCCCAAGTGCTGGCAGATTTTGAAGTCTGGTTCCCACCCTTTTCAGGAACCTCAGTAGAAATCCAGGTCACCCCAGAGACCAAAACAGCTTTGTTTCGCCAGTCATACCAGGAATTGTACTGAGGGTCCAGAGGACTCTATACGACGGGCACAGGGAGATGACAAAGGGTCTGATGTGGTCACTGGGCCATCCCAAGGCTGCTATGGCAGAGTACCTTCCACCATCTCTGAGCACCAGCTGCAAATGTCCAGCCGAGGAAGGACCAGCAGCTCCTGTGGGACTGATTCAAACCGAGGGAGGTTTTTTCACAGCTTGGCATCTTTTTCGATCAGCAGGCAGGGGAGAACCAGAAGGGTTTCTGGGAGATGAGGCAAGGAGAGAAAGGGCCAGGCCTTCCCCTAGAGGCTTCATTCTGAGGTTAATGGGCAGCATTTGTGGGGAATGAGAGAGCCTCCAAGCCCAAGGGACCAGAAGACAAAGGCGCTTGAGGAAGTGCAAGGAGGAGGAGGAGAGGGGCCAGGACCGCCATTGTGTAAGAGAGTTCCCCCTCTATCTGTTTCAATCACTGCAGGGTTAGGGTTACCCTGCATTTAGGGCCCCACTGCATTGTGGGGTCTGACAGCCCTTGTGATGGTAATGGGGGCCTCTCCCAAGGTACCCCTTCCTTTGACAACCCATACCAGCTTCCAGAGAGAAATGAAGCCCATTCCCTTGGGGTGGGGCAGGTTGCAGGCCCAGAGCTGGACCTAAGATAGCAGCCCCCTCTCAGTCTGCTAAGTGTACCTTCCCAGCCCAAGTCATGACCTTTTTCCCTCCAGAGTTCCAGAAAGGGAATGGAATCTGAACATCGAGACGCTTTCGTGGCTATGAACAATTCTCCCTTTCTCTAGTCTCAATGATGGGTCTATTCCCTCCTGTAAATGGGTCTCGCCATCTCCAGCGTTCACCTTTGCTTGGAAGGGTAATTAACTGCATCTCCCTGTTGTTCTCCCTCACACTCCCCTCTCTGTTACCAGGCTCAGGTAAAGCTGGGTAGAAGGCTTTCTCTTCCTTTCTATTCCATGGGGTGTTTCTTTTTAAAGCTGATAGAGAAAAGCCCTGCTTCCCCAGCGACCCCCTTCCCTAGAGAGCCTACTGAGGAAACCACTTCTGCACTTCAGGTACTGGAAGGGTGCCCATGTCAGCACCTTTGAGGTTTTTCAGATTGCCAGCCCTGAACTACCAGTTCACGAATGTTAGAGATGTTTTCAGGTGAGAGACTAGGGAGCAAAGTGTAAGGCTACATGGGTTCTGGATACTGAGGACAGATGTGGAGGTAGGTAAGATAAAGTAAGACCACACAATCAATGGTTTTTAGACACAGGAAGGCCTCAGGAGCAGGGTAGCAGGACAGCAACATGGTGAGAGGGTGAGGACAGGCCCATCTAGCAACAGCTGAACACCAGGCTGCTGGAGAGGCAGGTCATATGGTAGGTGGGCTACATCATCAGAAAACAGCCTCTGATGAGTTGTCTAATTACTATGGTTTTGTATGGTGGGTTGGTTGGGTTGGTTGGTTGGTTTTGGTTTTTGAGGTAGGGTCATACTATGTAGTCCTAGGTGGTATAGAATCTCTATGTACACTAAGCTGGCTTCAAACTCACAGTGATCCTTCCATCACTGTCTCCTGAGTGCTAAGATTAAAGACTTGCCATCATACCTGGCCTTGTGTGGTATTTTTGTGAAATAATGAATTTTGCAAAGGTGGGAACACCACTCCTACCTGAAGCCTATGCACACCCAGCCCAGTAAATGATACATGAACACACATGACCCCAGAGTCACAGTATTAGAGCTAGCTAAGAACAAGGGGAGGGCTTTGAGTATACTCTCAGGAGAGCCTGCCACTAACAACATTATTTAGAACTGCTCCTATGTGATAGATAATTGATGAGCAAACCAACCCTCGATTTCATTATGATTTAAAAATTCTCTGTAAACATATGCTGCCCCACTTTATTTATCCCAACAGCAGAGGAGCAGGTTGGAAGCAGATGG